TATTCTATTCTATTATTATTCTATTCTATTATTATTCTATTCTATTATTATTCTATTCTATTATTATTCTATTCTATTCCCCATTCTATTCTATTTTCTATTATTATACTATTCTATCATTATTCTATTCTATCATTATTCTATTCTATCATTATTCTATTCTATCATTATTCTATTCTATTCTCTATCCTATCCTAATTTTGATTCTATTTTCTATAAGGGTACTCGACCCTTCCTCTCTTTAATCCTTCCTTCCTTCCCTCCCTCCCTCCTTCCTTTCCTTCTTCTCTTCCCTTCCATCTCCACCTCCTCTCCTTCCTTCCCTTTCTTTTTTCCTTCCTTTCTTCCCTCCCTCCTTCCTTTCCTTCTTCTCTTCCCTTCCATCTCCACCTCCTCTCCTTTCTTTTTTCCTTCCTTTCTTCCCTCCCTCCCTCCTTTCCTTCTTCTCTTCCCTTCCATCTCCACCTCCTCTCCTTCCTTCCCTTTCTTTTTTCCTTCCTTTCTTCCCTCCCTCCCTCCCATCAAAGCTACCCCCAAAATGATGGCACTGGGAGCAAATTGAGCTGTTTCAAGCGTTTTTTTTCCCTTCACCAAGCTTTCTCCTCCTTTCTGCCTTTTTCCATCACTCCTTCTCCTCTTTCTCTTTTGATTCCATCTCCATCTCTTTCGTTGCTTCTTCTGCCGCCCTCCCTCCCTTCCTTTCTCCTACTTTTGGGGCGCCTGGAAATTCAGCTTATCTTCCAAAGCTTTTTGGGTACACCCTTCAAACTATTTCAGATCGGGGTGTGTTTTTTTTTGGGGGGGTGGCTATTATATCTTGTTGGAAGCAACGGGGGTCGCGTGATCCTCCTCCCCCCTGAAAATACCCCCCCCACACACACACACCCTCCCACCAAACGTTTAGAAGAGACTCACCGGAAAACCGGCCCAGATGGGACAGGAGTTTCCTATGGGATGCTGCGACGGGATTGAAGTGGTGACCAGCAAACTCAACGTCACGATGAGGACTCCTAAGATCATCTGGATGAAGCCCAAAAGGAGGATAATTTGCAGCCAAGCCCTCCGGACACGCAAGTGTGTAAAACTGTGCGAAGTCCGGCCAGTTAAGGAGTAACTGGAATCGCTGCGGGAGGGCATGGTGATGCCCGGAAAGGAGACTCATGGAAGTGGTCCAAAAAACAGCCCAAATAATATATATATATATTGTTATATATATATTTTTAAAAAACTGAGGACTAGAAACATGGAGGGAAAAAAAAGAGATTATTTCCTCTTCTTTCCATGCAGTTACGCTGAGCCAATTCCAATCCCTGGATTATCACCGTCCAGTCCTTATAAAATGCATATTTTGCAGACCAAATTCCCTCCCCAATTAAAGGGAAATCAGCCTGACGAGACCTCCAACTTGCAAAGGGTTTAATTTTAAAAACATGTTGTTGTTTTTTAGCTGGGATAATTTTGGCCCAGTTTTGCTAGCAGACCGGTCTGGAAATCCATGAAAAAGAGAGCTTCTGGGCCCGTGCAGAGAGCCCGATCAATTCCAAGCGGGAAGGCCAGGGGAGGAGGGGAAAAAAAGCAATTTAATTCCAGCTGTTTTTTTAAATTATTATTATTATTTTCATCTGGTTCAAAAGCAGAGAGATCGTCTGTTGGTTTCACGGAGCGAGATTATCCTACAACGAAAAATAATCAAAATGAAAAGGACGTACAAGAAACAGAGACCGACAATTTCCTCGTCCAACGAGACTCCTGGGGTGGGCAGAAAATCCAACGAGGTGCCTGGGGGCCTTAATTATGCCAACTAATTTTACCCCCGCAAATTTCAGCCTCAGAAGCCAAAAACATCGAAGCTGCCCATAAAATGCTGGGGCTTTCTCCTCCTTTCTGCTTTTTCCATCCCTCTTTCTTTTCTTTCTCTTTCGTTCCATCTCTTTCTTTGCTTCTTCTGCCTTTCTGCTTGCCCGCCTTCCCCTTCCATCTTTCTTCGCCCTCCTTCCCTTCCTCTTTTCTCTATCACTCCTTCTTTTCCTCTTTTCTGCAATCTCATTCTTGTTTCTTTCCTTCCTTCCCTCGTCTTTCTTTCCTTCCCTCTCCTTCCTCCTCACTCTCCTTCCTTCCTGCCTTCTTGACTTCCCTCCCTCCCCCTCTTCCCCTTTCCTTCCATCTCTATCTTTCCTTCCTTCTCTCCTCCTCACTCCCTTCTTGCCTCCCCTCCCCTCTGTTCCTCTTTCCATCTCTATCTCATTTCTTTCCTTCCTTCTCTCCCTTTATCTTCCCTCTCCTTTCTTCTCTCCTTCCTCATCGCTCTCCTTCCTGCCTGCCTTCCCTTCCTCTTTCCTTCCATCTCTATCCCTATCTTCTTGTTTCTTTCCTTCCCTCCCTCCCCCTTTCCCTTCCTCTCCTGCCTTCCTTCTCTCCTTCCCACCCCCTTCCTTCTCTTCCTTTTTCCTTCCCTCTATCTTGTTTCTTTCTTTCCTTCCTTCCTTCCCTCCCCCTTTCCCTTCCCACTCCTTCCTTCCTTCTCTGCTTCCCTCTTCCTCTGTTCCTTCCTTCCTTCCTTCCCTTCCTCTTTCCTTCCATCTCTATCTCTATCTTCTTCTTTCTTTCCTTCCTTCCCTTTCCCTTCCCTCCCCCTTCCTTCTCTTCCTCTTTCCTTCCCTCCATCTCATTTCTTTCCTTCCTTCCCTCCTCCCCCTTTCCCCTCTCCTTCCTTCTCTCCTTTCCTCCTCTTTCCTTCCTTCTCTTCCTCTTTCCTTCCATCTCTATCTTGTTTCCTTCCTTCCCTCCCCCTTTCTCTTCCCTCTCCTCCCTCCCTCCTCTCCTCCCCTTTCTTCCTCCCCTCTTCCTTCTCTTCCTCTTCATCTCCATCGCTCTTCCTCCACTCTCCCTTCCTCTTCCTCCTCCCCACAGCTGGCAAACATCTGTAGTCAGTCATCCACACAGTGTATGGGGGGGGGAGAGAACAGGGGGGTGGGGAGAGAGGGGTGGCAGTAGCAGCTAAGGGCTCTCAGCGAGCTTGCTAAAATCCCCGTTTTTGTGCCGTCACCCAAAGAAACTTTGTGGTCCAGATTTATTATTATTATTATTATTTTTTGCTGCTCTTCACCATCCCAAAAGGAAGCCAGGGGAGTCTGTCCCCTCCCTCTTCCCCCCAGTGTTTAGTTGGGGGGGGATACTTGCAAAGAGGAGCGGTGGGGGGGACGGGAAGAGCTCTGGAATTGGGGCACCCCGAACCCCAATCCCAGTGGGAGACCCCCGAGATCCCTATAAATTCCAGGAAGAAAGTCTCAATTTCTCTTGCTTGGGGGGCAAAGAGGCCAGGGGGTTGGGTAGGGGGGTGTTATCAAACCTTTTTTCCCCATAAAACTTAAAATTCAAGGCAGCCCTACCTCGAATTCTCTCCCTTGCAGCAAAAAAATGCAGCCTTTTCTCACCCACCCCAACAAAACTCCCCCCCCACTCCAACCAACAGGCTCCCCTCCCCCTGAAAAAAATCAGTCCCCACCTTTGTCCTTCTCCCCCCCCCCTTTTCCCCTGTTTTTTTTTCCTCCTGGGCCCCAAAGAGGAGTTAAAATCGGGTGCAGCCTTACCCAGAAGGGGCGGAGTCTTTCTGCGCGGCTGCAGGGACGCTCCAAGCCAGAGATGCTCTTAAGCTCCACCCCCCTTTTTTTTTTTTTTTTTTTGCTAAGTGCCTGCATCTTTCTCGTGCCCGGTCCTGATGCTGCAGGGAGGGGAAAGGGGGAAAAAAAATAA